CGGGGGCGGGGCTTGGAGAACGGGCGGGGCTTAGGTGAGGCTGTGAGCCGGGGGCGGGGCTTGGAGAAAGGGGCGGGGCTTGGGTGGGGCTGGGAGCTGGGGGCGGGGCTTGGAGAAGGGGCGGAGCTTAGGTGAGGTTGAGAGCCGGGGACGGGGCTTGGAGAAGGGGCGGAGGTTAGGTGAGGTTGAGAGCCGGGGGCGGGGCTTGGAGAAAGGGGCGGGGCTTGGATGGGGCTGGGAGCCGGGGGCGAGGCTTGGAGAAGGGGCGGAGCCTATGTTAGACTGGGGGCGGGGCTTAGAGAAGGGGCGGTGATTACGTTAGGCTGGGGGCCGGGGGCGGGGCTTGGAGAACGGGCGGGGCTTAGGTGAGGCTGAGAGCCGGGGGCGGGGCTTGGGATGGAGACCTTGGGGTGGGGCTGGGGGGCTGGGCTACGGGGAGAACTGGGGGGGTCAGGGAGCTCAGCTGGAGGAGTGCGGCTGGGAGGAGCTGGGTGTTTGGGGAGGGAGGCCGGTTCTGAAGCGAGCTCAGTGTTGGTAGTTGGGAGGCTGGGCTCTGGGGGGGTGTGGGTTGGGGAGGGAACATGGGGGGTTGGGCTCCCAGGGGTGGGAGGGAGCTAGTGGGTGTCAGGGGCCTTTGGGCATTATTGGGGGGGAGGTGGGATTCTGGGCGAAGGGGAGTTTGGGGGGTTCCTTGTTTGCTCCAAGCTGGGGTCTGGCTGCCCGGGCAGCGCTGTGTGCTCTGAAGAGGGAACCTTGGGGGGCTGACGGGGGGCTGAGCTGCCCTTGTGTGGGGGCTCTGCCTGGGTATTTGGGGGGTTGTCCTTGACGTCTGTGGTCTTAGCGGGTCTAAGTCGAGCACGTGCTTCTTGGGGGAGAGGAGGCTCGTGGTGGAGAAAGGGAAGCAAGCTGGTTATGGGGTGGGAATGGCTTCTCCGGGCCCGGGGCTCCTCTGGGGGGAGGGTGTCTTGGGGATGGGGGCAGGGGGCAGGCAGCTGGTGGGCCTTACAGGGGAGTGGCTGGCTCGCAGCCGGACACCCAGTTGTTGAGATGCCCTGATGTGGGGAGGGGCTGGGCACGTGAAGGGTGGACGTTGGCTCGCTGGGCATAGGGGTGTGGGGAACAGAGCGAATTCCCTACCATAGGGATGGGGGGTGCTGCAGAGGGCTCATGGGAGCCAGTGCAGGAGTGGGCTGATACGGCTCAGATTGGCCCCAGGTTTTGGATAAAGATGGGCCCAGAGGAGCATCCCTCGTCAATTGGGAGTTGGGCTGACCTGGGCACAGGACAAAGCCGAGGTGCTCCAATCCGTTACCATGGCGTTCTCTCATCCAGGCCATTCATGGCTTCCGGGAAACAGAGATAGCCCAGTGGAGCGAGGAGAGCCGGGAAATCTTGCAGCGGGTCCGGGATGAGGCCTTCCCGCCAGGGATGTCGCAGCTCTCGCTGGTCCACGTCCTCGACCTGGATAAAAGCGGCTACATCAAACCTCACATAGACAGCGTCAAGGTGAAGCTGCGGGGCTCAAATGTGACCTGGTTGGAGGGAGCTGAGGCTGGAGGATTGAAGGGGCTGGGGGTAGAAAACAGAGACTTTGGCTTTATCCGTCAGCCAGAGCACCTTGGGCTTCATCGTTCATCCTAAGCCGCATACGGGCAAGTCAGTGCTGGGAAGCGAAACCTTTGTTCTGTAGGGATCGGGGTGGGTGGCTCAGCGGGCGGGTGGGGGGCGCTCTCTTCTCTGAGCTAGTGCCCTGGTGTGGTGCTAGGGGAGGCGGGTGGGTGGCTTGGTAGGGGGCGCTCCCCTGATCCATACTGACCCCAGCATGATATCATGGGTTGCTCTTTTGGGTGAAGGATAAAAGCAAAGGCAGGACTGCTTGGCAGTGATGATCTCAGGGTTTTTTTCAAACTCCCCCCCCCCCCCCCCAAATAATGCCCAAAGGCTCCTAGCTCAGAGCTGACATCCCAGGGTATCCCCACATCCTGGCCTAACTCCAGCTTAGGTCAATCGTTGGCTCTTGCTAACTTTCCCTGCGGTTTCATTTTGGATCTGTGATTCTTCACTCCCTGTCCTAAAACTGCCCTGTGTTGCTGTTCGCTGGTAAGCAGCTGCAGCGTGCCACCCCAGAGGTGGTCACGTTCGCTAGCGGCATTACTGGCATTTATCATTATTTTTCTTCCCCACGTTAGTTTTGTGGCTGCACAATTGCGGGGCTGTCCTTGCTGTCCTCCAGTGTGATGCGGCTGGTCAGCGAGCAGAACCCAGAGGACTGGATGGACCTGTTGCTGCCGCGCCGCTCGCTGTACATCCTCAGGTAACGTGGCCCATCGGGTGAGGGTGTGGCAAGACCTAGACGTGACGGCGCCTCGTCTCTGCCGGCAGAGGCAGGGTGCGCCTGGTTCTGTAGAACTTTGTGAGAGGTGCCAAAGGAGGTGCCGTATGAGAGGAGTTAGTTTCAGGGGGGGACATTGTTAATAATACCTAGGTCCTGTAGAGCTCATACCAGCAGCACGTCTCAGAGGGCTTTACCAAGGAGCTCAGTATAATTATCCCCCTTTTACAGATGGGGAAACTGAGGCACGGAGCAGAGAAGTGACGTACCCAAGGTCACCCAGCAGGCCAGTGGCAGAGCCAGAAACAGAACCCAGGTCTCCTGACTCCCAGTCTCTACCCACTAGGCTGCAATGCCTCCCTTAGTGGCAGCTGGGAGTGGAGACTGGGCACTCTGATTTCAGTCTCAGCGCAGAGGCCGAGGACTGAATGTGCCATGGACACCGAACTCACCCTTAGAGGTTCTATGTAAGGCCCATTTTTGGCCCATCCCCATAGTATCTGAGGACTGTATTTATCCTCACAACCCCCTGTGGGACAGACCTGGGCTTTTATACCCAGTGTACGGCTGGGGAAACTGAGGCACAAAGACTAAGCAACTTGCCCGTGGTCTCATAGGGAGTCTGTGGCAGAGCAGGGTGGGCCTCCCTAGTCATATGTTATAGAGGCCAGTGGCTCTTGGGCTGAGTCAGACTTCCTCTCTCCCCTCCTTTCACAGAGGCCCGGCTCGCTATGAGTTCACCCACGAGATCCTCAAAGACGAGGAGTCCTTTTTTGACGGGCAGAAGATCCCCCGAGAGAGGAGGATTTCCGTCATCTGCAGGAACCTGCCTATCCTGCCAGCTCCTACGTAGGCCAGGCTAGAGACACTAGTGGAGCTGTGGGATTGGAAACAGCCTTCCTCCCCTCTCCAGGCTGGGGCAGAGCTGAATGTTTTCATTTGATTTGGTTGATGCTTTTGCTCCAGCCTGCTCAAAGGGACCTGTCTGTGGAGGTTTGTAGCCAAGACTAAACCAAGGGACTTCTCCCCTCATCACACAGCCATGGAGGGATCTGCGGACGTGTGTACCCTCGACAACCACCCAGGTGCGTACTGTGTAATCAGCAGTGCAATTAATTAATGAATGACTTAATGCGCTGTATTGACTACCCACAGGGCAAGGGAAGCTGCATAGTCCATGTTAAACCCAACAAGTAAAATCTAAAATGGAAATATCTCCCCGTGATCTTCGTTACGGGGCCTGCGGTGACTTTAACCACAGCAGGTAAATAGAATTCAGAAGTGTGCTGTTTTTGTTTGTTTTTAAAGGGAACCGCTGGTGAATTTTGGCGAATTTCCCTCATTAAAAATAATTTATTTGAACGCGTACCTTTTTTCAGAAGTTGTTATTAATCATTTTTGTTACAGGGCGTAAAGGCCAGCTGCAAACAGGGCCCCATTGTGGTCCGCCTAAGGGACGACCCTGGGCTAGCTCAAAGAGAGTAATCCTTGCCCATCTGTCCCACAAAATAGCCACACGCCTTTTGATCAGTTTCATGGTTTTTATTAGTCTGAAATCACCATGTACATTTCAGCCGTTCCCAAGACATGCCTGAAAACGAGCAAACAAACACAATCCCCGACTCGCTACTAGCGGAAAGAAGCAAATAAATTAAAAAGGGACTCTAACAAGCTCAGGTAGGGAAGTGGCGGGAATGAGATCCCTGGCCCTCCCTGCCCTTAGTGGAAGAAACCAAATAAATAAATAACTTAGGAATCCATAAATATCTCTTGTATCGTCCAGCTCTCCCCCTGCACTTGCGTGTAGATGAGCCATGCACACCTCCTCCAGGCAGATTCTCGGTCTCAGATCCGCCAAGGTATTTAGGCTCCTAACTCCCATTGGTTTCAGTGGAAGTTAGGAGCCTAAATGCCTTTGAGGTTCCAGGCCTTAGCAAACAAGCTAGCATCTCAGTAATGCGAAGAAACAGGATGGGATTGGCGGCTGAGTGGAAGGAGGGGGTTGGCCTGGTGTTGTGAAGTGAACGCCGTTGTTTTGATTGACATCCCCGGTAGTGGTAGTAGCAGTTCCCTTCTCTCACCCCTAGAGGGAGCCCTTCAAGGGGCAAAAGTCATGGCCCCTGTCCTGTGGGATCTGTGGGGTGGAGTTTGGTCTTCTCTCAGGCTTTGGGTTCTAGGGTGTGGGAGGAAGAAACACAGACTGCTTTAACATTGGAGCTACGCGCACCCTGCTGACTCACCCTCCCGCCAGCAACATCAGCCCACGCAGGAGCAGGCAGAAGCCGAGAGCTTCTCCACCTCGTGCCACTGGTGGCTGTTGTCCAGGAAGGCCACGTCCTCGTAGTGCGTTGGCCGGCAGCAGGGGTCGCCAACGATCTTCTCCTCGCCCAGGGCCGGGATCTCACTCTTCTGGAGCAGCATGGAGAGCGTCAGGTCGTGGTTGGTGCGGGCCTTGGGGCAGCTCCCGCTGCAATACTTGAACAGGATGGTCTCCTCGGAGTCGTAGCCCAGGGCCAGGTCCTTGACGCGCAGGAGCAAACTCCGCAGCCGGCACTCCTGCCCCTCTGGGTGCTCCCACAAGCGGCTGCCAGCCAGCGGCCTCCGTTTCTGACGGCGCTTGGCCGGCCCGGGGGAGGCGTAGGGCAGCAGGTTTCTAGGGTCATCCGGGACGTGCAGGGAAGGTCCCTTTGGCATGTGCGTCTCTGAAACAGAGAGAGACAGAGATCACGCCAAACGGGGGAGGGGTGCTGAAGGCACTGACCAGACCTGGAATCCCAAGTGCAATTCCACCCACCACCTCCTTGAGCAGGGTAGAGGGGAGCCCCTTTCCGGCTCAGACTGCACCTGTTGTGATCCGCCACCACTGGGCAAAGAGCAAGGGGAGAATCCCGTCTCCACTGCGTATCTCAACTACGGTGCTAAGTTCTGGACAAACTCAGCCCCAGGGAGATGGGGACACGTTGCAGGGAGCTCAGAGGAGCGCAGCAGCAGCAACCCAGGGGCTGCAGGGACTGAGTTAGAAGCCAAGGCTCCTTGGTGATGGAGCTTAGGTGAATAGCCACCATGAAGGGACAAGGACAGTCCTAGGGGTAGAGGAGCGAAGGTGATCTCGGCTGGCTGGCTGTGGCGCTAGAGAAGCTGGCGGAAGCCCCGTCCATGGGATCTTTTAAAATTGAGACGCGGCGCTGAGTTTTTTTGCACTGTCAGGTTTTAAGCGACTCAAACCATTGGGGAGGCCAGTGATTCTACAGGAGGCTACTCGGACCCTGCACGCAGCGATCCTGCGGTGGATGCAGGGGAGAAGTCAGAGGTTTTGTATTGTTAGGAGGGGAAGACGGGATCTGTTATACCCACGCTTCTAGCCCAGTATCCCCCCTGTGCTGTATCAGAGCAAGCCAGAGAGTCCCATATCCTCCCCCGTTGGTTCCAACCAATGGATGTCTAGATTCATATTCCCCCTTGTTCACACCAGTGGGTCCTATCGTCCTGTAGCCCTCCTGCATCCTATCAGAGCAATGGCCCATCGCATTTGGCCTCTTGACTCCAATCATGACCTGTGCTAGATGCTTCGGAGGAAGAGACTAAATCCACAATGGCTGGTGGTTTAATAATTGGACTGGGGGGGGGGCAGGGACTACCTTCCTGACCCCCACTGTTGTTGCTCACCTCAAGCCCTGAAGCATGAGGATTGATGGACTTTGTACAGTTAATTGATGCCATTGATAGTGAACTGAGGGATGGGTTTAACCCCCTCTCCCCCTGCACAGATCTACCCAGACATTTCTTCCATGCTCCTCCCTTGCGGTATCTGAGTGCCGCCGCCTAGGGAGCGAGTGGATTTATAGCTGTGATTTCCCTCCTATCTACCAGACGATACGGCACATCTAGTGTGTGCAGGTCTTGCTGCTGCTCCGCTCTCGGTCTGCCGGTCTGATGGCTGGGGATAGAGAGCAGAGTCGCTCAGTCTAATCCAGTAATTTTCTGTGTATAACCCCCCCGCCATGCCACTAGCTAACCTCTTAGCTGGGATTGAGGGGCCCTGGGGGACTGAACCAAACTCTTCTCCCTGCCAGGAGGAAAATTCATCCCTCTGCTATCCACTCGACCGTGGGAGCGTAGAGGGTGTACTCAGGAGTTAGGATACTAGCTCACTAAGACCCAGGTTCAATTCCCGGTTCCACCACAGATTCCCCGTGTGACCTTAGCCTTCCCGTGCCTCAGTTTCCTCACGTGTGCAATGGGGATCATAGTGGTGCCCTGCCTCCCAGGCGTTCGTGGCGATAAATCTACTCACACGTGGGCGGTGCCCAGATGCCGCGGTGCTGCCGGATAAATGCCAGGCATCGATTGGTCTCCAGGGCTTGAGGCCGGTTTCCCTTAGCCCAGAAATCACTGGGGTCGGGGAGAGAACGGTACAAAAGGGGAGCCTCCCCCCCCCCCACCCTCGGCACTGCCCGGCCTGGGAATAGCACCGAAAGCGTCGCATACCTAGGAGTGCCCAGAGCAGGTCCCTGATGCTGGTACCCCGCTCTGGCTCTTCCATCACCATGGGCTTCTTGCCTTCCACTGGCTGGGAGACAGCGGGTCTGACCAGGAGGATGAGCGAGACGCTGCAGAGGAGCTGGGATGAATCCATCCTTCCCCAGTTAAGCCGGGTTGGCTTCTGAAAGGAAGGTGGCTCATCTCTCCTTTATATCCTCCTTGGGATGTCCCGGGGGGTTGGCAGGGCAGGCGTTAACCCTTCGCAACCCTTGAAACATTCCATGCTGGGCCAAATACAGGGCGGGTGGAAGGAGACTCATTCCCAGCAGAGTCTCTGGCGTTGGTGTCTTGATCCCTGCATTCGATCCGGTCTCTCTCTGGAGTCTTTGCCTCCGGACAGTAGAATGCTCGTGGGCCGAGCTGGCTAGGCGAGGAACTGCACCCGCTCAAGTCACCCCGGCCCCAGGTGGTTCGGCTGACAGCGACGTTGGATCGGTGGGGTTTGGGGAGCCGGGATGGGGTTAAATCCTCGTCTGAAAGGGTTAACCGAAAATCTTAGGGGGAAAAAAAAAAAAAAGCCCAGGATACTTGAATGGAAATTCCTGGATTTGATTACACCCAGCTCTGCTGTGCAAATACCTCGGGGGGGGGGGATGGAAGGGGGATTGTACATAAATTATAGGGTCGCGGCAGGGGTGGGCTAGGGTAAGACGTTGAGGCGGCTGGTAACAGACTGCTAGTAAAGCGTGAGTGCGCCTGGCCAGCCGGGCTGCCCAGGCCTGTGTCTGGCTGGCGAGACTGCCGGAAAGGGGGGACTCCTGGCCCTGGTGGATGGGATGGAGCCGGGATTTACTGGGCTTGACTTGGTTCCACGCTGCGGGTCAGGCAGGTTCCCCTCTCCTGGCTCTGCGAGGCAGCGAGACTCAGCCCCTTTCCCACGATGCAGCTCGGGGCAGTCGCCACGGACCACCCTCCAGTTGTGGGCCCAGAGGAGGCAGTGCGGGGCATCACGCTTCCCTGGCCAGAATTCCTCCCATGAGCACTTTGCCGGCTCTCCCTGATTCCAGGGCAGACCCTGGAAGGCCTCTGCAGCGCTCTCCTAAAAGTCACTGCGGCTCCCCCAGTGGGGTGCTGGCAGGATCAGGCCCTCGGCTCCCTGTGCTAGATAAAGAGGAGAGGACGAGATGGGCGGAAGCCCCTGCTAGGCACCCAAACCCCTTTGGCCCTAGGAGGTGGGGGCGCCCGATTGAGCTCTCCACATCCAGGCAGCCCTCAGGGTGACAAGTAGCCGGAGATCAGAAGGGGCCTATTTTTCAGGCCAGGCCACAATGTGGCTTTGGATGGGAAGCTAGAAGGCGGCTGTCCCGGGCGGCTTGGGGCCTACCTAGCACTGTGCCGGCTGCTCCCCGGAACCAACAGCTCGGCCCCCGCTAGACCCAGTGGCGAGCAGGTCACCTCCCCAGAGCTGTGTGCTTTGGGAGGAGCCTGTGCCCTGGTCCACTTAGATGCAGCTTCCATAAACTCTGGCGCCAGCCCAGCCTTGGGGAGCAGGGGCTCGAGGGCTTTCCCCTCTGCCTCTGTCTCCACCCCCAGCACAGAGAAAATCCCCCTTATGTCGCCTGCCCCATCCCCAGTGCCTACGCTGTGGCCTGCATGGGACTCAGCAACTGGGCTCCCCCATGCCACAGCCTCTAATGCTTCCGGCCTCAGCCCGATTTCCTTTGCCACCCTCTGCCCCAGGCTTGGCCCTGCACCCCAGTACCCCTTGTCCCACTTGGGGTTCCCACAGCCCTTAGACCAGCTGCTTGGACGCCTATTCCAGAGCTTAAATATCTCCGGAGTTGGAACGTTCCTGCTCCTCTCAAGGGAGATTTGTGACATATT